GGGCTGGATTTTGGGATGCAGCCCAGGAGAAGAAGGATCAACGACCTCCAGAAGTGCCCGGGGTTTCATGGGATCTGATGGGATCCGATGGGATCCAATCCCAATTTTTGAAGGACCAGCCCCACCAAGAGCTCCTGGAGGTTCCCAAAGCCCATCCTTGGTGTCTCCTGGAGGTTCCCAAAGCCCATCCTTGGTGTCTCCTGGAGGTTCCCAAAGCCCATCCTTGGTGTCTCCTGGAGGTTCCCAAAGCCCATCCTTGATGTCTCCTGGAGGTTCCTCCTGGTGGATCCATCCAGGATCGGCTCCCAGGGGGAATTCCCGGGAAATCCACCCAGAATCAGAGGGATCCCAAATTTCCTTCAATCCCAATGGAGAGGCCGGAATTTTCCGGCATCGGGAAAACCCAAAGGTGGATTCTGAAGGGATTTTCTCAATTAAATGAATTCTATTAATTGAACAAATCATTATTAATATATTATGATAACAAATTAATAATATTTATATTAATATTATTAATAAATTCATATTAATTATAAATATATAATATTAAAGTAATAATAAATATAATAACTTATAAATTATAAATTTATGTTTACATTGTTTTACTAGAATTTATATTAATATTATTAATAAATAATAAATTATTATATTATATAGTAAATTATAATAAATAATTATAAATTATATTAATAAACTATGTATATTATGATACTAATCAAAAGTAGCAGATATAGAAATAAAATTAACTTTCATTATTAGCATTAAATTGATGTATTTAAAAACAATATTAATAAATATTAATTAATATTAATAATTAAATGATGTTATATTTAGTTATATATAATATTAAACATACATCATTATTAAGAAACTTTAATAATAAAGCAGAATAAAATTATATTATAATATATACATATTATATAAAATATATAAATATATATTTATATATATTCATAGCTTTAAGTTAATTTTATTAATTATAAAAATTGTATTAATAAATCGTTAATAAATTTTAATAATTAATATCATTATGAAGATCATAATTAACAATAAATATTGTCACTTATATTAGGTAATTTTCTCAATTACATTAATTGTATTAATTGAAAAAATGGTAATAATTAAATTATTATATTAATAAACTATATATATTATTTTAATTATATTAATGTGATAAAAATCAATGAAATTTATTTTCTTTAATTATTAGCATTAAATCGATGCCTTATGAATAATATGGTATGTATTAATATATATTAATAATGTAATATTGTTATATTTAATGTTAAAGTTATATATGACATATATTAATAATTTAAATAATTAATACCATTACAAATATCGTAATTATTAATATAGAGTAACTTATTTTAACTCTAATAATATTAATAATAATAGCAATTTTAAATATTATAATTACATCATAATGTATCATTGTCAATATCTACAATAATAAAGATATTGAAAATATTGTGTATAATGCTATATATTAAAATATATATAATTTGTAATTATGTATTTGAAATTAGAAAAATAAATATATATTATGTATCTATTAACACATAAGTTGTATTATATGTCATTAATTGAGTTATTAATTATATAGTAGAAGTATACAATTATTACAAGAATGATTATATCATTATTACTATAATAATATAGTAATAATATGGTATTAATAAAATAATAGCAATAATAATAGCAAAATGAGCATGAAATAATAATAATAATAATAATAATAATAATAGTAATAATAGTAATAATAGTATACAATAAACTCCATATATTTGACATATTATAGAACATATCCCTATACATTCTAATTAAGGAGATTTTAAATTATAGATACTAATTATATGCAATTATTATTAATTATTACACTGCTGTAATAATATACCTGCATATAATAACATTTATAATTATAACAATATAATCATAACTTTATCTGTATATAATAATAAAATATTTATAATTATATAAATAATAGAATTATTGTATAATTATAATTGTAATATAATTATTATATTATTATTCTATATTATTTTGTATTATATTAATTATTATTACATAGTAAGTACATAAATATACTTAGAAATTAAAATATAACTGTAATTAGTTATAGATATAAATATAAATATTATTACAATATAATTATAATTCCAAATTACAGTGTAATGAAAATAACAATGATTATAAAAATAATTAAATTATAAATTATTGTTATTACTATTATAACTATTACTATTACCATTATTATTTATTATTACTACTATTTATAATTAATATCTATATTAGTACTAGCATCCATATTATGATTTATTATTAATAAAATAATACTAGTATTAAAAGTAATATTAATGCTGAAATTAATGGTAATATTTATTACTATTAATAATAACAATGATATTTATTACTATTATGATTACTGTTAGCCTTATTACTCCTACATTATTAATATTGCTATTTATTATTAATACTTATATTAATACTATCATTTCTATTATGATTTATTATTAATAAAATAATAATAGTATTTTAAGTGATATTAATGCTAAAAATAATATTTATAATAATATTTATTACTATTATGATTATCATTATGATTACGCTTATTATGCCTACATTTTTATTTCTTAGTACTATTTTTTATTATTAACACTAATATCACTATTTCTATTAATTATTTATATAACACTAATATTAATACTAATTATATTCATACCAATATTAATACTAATATTAATAATTATGTTATAGTAGTATATTAATATAATATATAAATATATCAATATTATACGATAATATGAATATATCGATGTTATATATCAATATATTGATATTATATATTACTATAATATTAATATATAATATAAAGGTATAATATAAATATAAAATATCTATATATTATAATATATATTATTATATTAATTATATTATATATATTATATAATATTATAATAATATATTAATATATCAATATTATCTATTACTATAATATAAATATATAATATAAATATATAAGTACAAAATATCTATATATTACATTAATATATTAATATATCAATATTATATATTACTATAATAGTAATATATGTTATATATAATATTAAGGTATAACATTAATAAATTATGATAATATATTAATATATAACATTAATATATTATGATAATATATTTATATATAACATTAATATATTATGATAATATATTAATATGTAATAATATTAATATTTTAAATATTAACAATAATGTTATTAATAGCTAAATTTCACCAACTCAACCTCACCCCTATTAATTACCCCAATTAATTAATGAATCCCCCATCCCTCTATCCCTGCTGTCCCTCTCCCATCCCTCGGCTCCCTGGGGAATTCCGGGAATTCCGGGGTCCCTACCCGGGATCTCCTCGCTCTGGGGCTTTGGTTTCTTTCGCAATTTGGGTTTCTTCTGATTGGTCCTTGCCAGGATGTGCCGGAGGTGCCGCGAAACTGGGGAAAAACACCGGGAATTCCCGCGGGAAACGGACACCGGGATCGGGAGAACAACGGGAATTGACACGGAATTGGAATGACATTGAAATGAAAAAAAAAAAAAAAAGAAATTAAAATTAAATTGAAATTAAAATTGAAATTAAAATTAAATTGATATGAAATTGAAATTAAAATTAAATTGAAATGAAATTGAAAATAAAATTAAAATTAAATTGAAATTAAAATTTAAATTAAAATTAAATTGAATTTGAAATAAAAATTAAAATTAAAATTGAAATTAAAATTACGATTTAAATACAAAAAAAATTAAATTTAAATGGAAATTGAAAAAAATTAAGTTGAAGATAAAACTGAAATTTAAAATTAAATGTGATTTGAATTTAAAAAAATTAAATTAAAATTAGAAAAATGAAATTAAAATTTTAATTAAAATTTGATGTGAAATGGGAATTAAAGTAAAATTAAAATTTAAATATTGAAATTACAGTTGAAATTCAAATTTGAAATGAAATGGAAATTGAAATTAAATGAAATTTGAGAATAAAATGAATCTAGAAATAAAAATTAAAACTGAAATTTAGTTGAAATGAAATTGGAATTATAATAAAAATTTGAAATTAAACTAAAATAAAAACAAATGAAAATTGAATTTGAAATAAAACTGAAATAAAATGAAAAGGAAAATTGAAATAAATTTGAAATTACTTAAAATAAAAATTGAAGTTTAAATTGAAATTAAAATAAAATCAAATTAATTTCATATCATTGAAATAAAATTAAAGGAAAATGAAAAAATTTAAATGGAAATAAAAACTGAAAGGAAATGAAAGTGGAAATGAAAATAAAACACTGAAATGAAATTGAATTAAAACATTGAAATGGAGTTTAAATGGAAATGAAAATAAAAAAAGTTCAATAAAATTGCAAAGTTAAAATAAAATATCATAAAAATTAAAATTGAAATAATTATAAATAAAGCCAAATAAAACTGAGTAAGCAAAGGTTAAAAAATGAAGAAAAGTTTAAAAATTTATTGGAAAAGAAATAAAAAAGTGAAAATAGAATTATTAAAGCAATCAATAAATAAAATAAAATAAAATAAAAAAAATAAAAGTATTAAAGCAATAATTAAAGAAAATAAATATAAAAATTAAAGATACACTGTAAATCAATTAAAGCAGAAAATAAAGACAAAAAGAAATGATATAAAAATGTAAATTAAAAATAGAAAAAATAAGTAAAAATGAAATAAAAATAGAAATAAAGAAAATAAAAAGAAAATTACAATAAAAATTATATTTAAAACTCAAAATAAAAGGAAGAAAATAAAAAAAAATTGTGAATAAAAACCCAATTAAAATGACAATGAAAATGCAAATTAAACCAAATGAGATGGAATAGAAAATTCAAATTAAAACAAACCAACGTCAACAACAAAACCGATCAACACAAAGACAACGAAATCCCTGGAAAAAACACGGAAAACTCAAAATGAGGATGGAATTCGGGAATTCCCAGGGAAGGACTCTGATTGGCTGGAGAGGAGTTGGGGGCGGAGCCTCTCCCTCAGCGCTGAATCCAGCGGGAAATTACTTTGACACCTCTGGTGGGACCAACTGAACTCATCCCAACAGTCCTGGGAATTCCCATCGGGAACGCTCCAGCTTCCGTGGCCTCCTGGGGTGGGATCCTCTCCTTGTGTCCTCCAGGAGCTGAAGGACACCTTGGAACCCCGTGAGAAATTTGGGATCCAAAATCCTAAATTTTCCTGGATTCCCAATCCCACCTCATCCACGACCCACTGGGAGGTGGCATCAACTCATGGGGATGTCCAGATGGGGAAGGATTTGGGACAACCAATCCCAAGGCTGGAGAGGATCTCCTAAAATTCCCACATTTCCCAGATTTCTGTCTCCTTCTCCGGCCATGACCAAAAACCTCGGGAGATGGGAATCTTCTGGGTTCCATCTCAACACAGGGGGTTTTTTTGGGATCCAAAGCTACTCGAGAAGGAACATCAGGAGGTGGGAATGATGGTGAAACCGTGGAATCACGGGATTTTGGATCCAATGCTACTTGAGAAGGAAAATCTGGAGGTGGGAATGATGGTGAAACCATGGAATCAGGGAATGGTTTGTGTTGGAAGGAACTTCAGGGGATGGGAGAAGTTCCAGGAGTGGAGGTGACACTGATCCCACAGAGGTGTCAAAGCTCATTTCCTCTTGGATCTCCTGTTGGATTTCTGGGAAGGAGAAGGGTGGGAAAGGCCCCACAGCACCGGGTGCACCTCCAGGAGATGTTTTGGATGAGGATCCACCTTTCCACAAGGAGACTCAGCCAAGAGGAAAGGAACCAAATCAGTGGGTTGGGACACGGACTCATGGAATGGTTTGGATTGGAAAGGACCACAAAGCCCATCCAGGGACACCTTCTGCTATCCCAGGCCGCTCCAATCCCCATCCAACCCGACCTGGAACACTTTCAGGATTGGAGACAGCCACAGAAGCCACCAGGCCGCGGTTCCTCACTTACCTTTGGTGTCATTCACCGGATCCATGTGCCGGTAAATGTATCCTTCAAGGTAGGAATGGAATTTGGGAGTGGGTGGGAAAAAGGCCAAACAAATGGCCATGAGCTCCCAGCCGCGAGCCAGGCTCTCGTATCGGAAGTTCTCGGTGGTCTGCCGGCACAGCTGGATGTAGAGCTCATCTCGCAGCCCCTGCATGCTCCAACCTTTGGTGGCGATCTCCAAGGCCACGTTGAGCTGGTCCGTCTTGGCCCGCCGGTCGCCCATGTACATCTGGATGAGCTTGAAGATCTCGCACGCCTCCTTCTTGACGTTGCGGTCGTTGGTCATGATCATGGGTTTCTTGATGGATTCGCTGCTCCAGGCCAGCATGTTGGCGATGGAGACCTTCCGTCGGAAGAGCCCTTGGGTGTGCTTGTTGAAGTGCTTGGAGGCCCAGTTCTCAATGTCCGTCTCCGAGGAGGGCTTGCGCAGGTTGAAGGTGGGGAAGACGCAGCTGGCGCTCGGCATCATGTTCCGTGTCTGCCGGCTGTTTTCGAACTGCGCGCAGGCGCCGAGGTCCTCGGACTGGGGGACAACAGGCGGGACAGGTCAGCAGTGCTGGTGGGGTGGGAGTGCTGATGGAACGATCGATTGATCAATCGATTGATCAACAGATCAAAAAACTGACCAACCGATAAACCAATGAACCAGCCAACCGATGGATCAATCAATGAAGCAACCAACCAACTGATCAATCAATGAACCAAGCAACCAACCAATGGATCAATCAATGAACCAAGCAAACAACCAACTGATCAATCAATGAAGCAAGCAACCAACCAATGGATCAATCAATGAACCAAGCAACCAACCGATGGATCAATCAATGAAGCAAGCAACCAATCAATGGATCAATGAATGAACTAAGCAAGCAACCAACGGATAAATCAATGAAGCAAGCAAGCAAGCAACTGATCAATCAATGAAGCAAGCAACCAACCATCGGATCAATCAATGAACCAATGGATCAATTAATGAACCAAGGAACTAATGGATCAATCAATGAACCAACCAAGCAAGCAACTGATCAATCAATCAATGAAGCAAGCAACTGATGGATCAACAAACCAATCAACCAGTAAACCAATCAACCAACCAACCAATGGATCAAGCAACCAAGCAACGAATCAACCAACAAACCAATCAATTATCAATCAATCAATCAATTAATCAATCAATGAAGCAAGCAATCAACAGATCAAAAAACTAACCAATAAACCAATGAACCAACCAACAAATTGATCAATCAACAAACTGATCAATGAAACAACCAGCCAGTAAACCAATCAACCAACCATCCAACAAATGGATCAATCAACCAAGCAATCAACCAATGAATGAATTAATGAATCAATCAATCAATTAATCAATCAACCAATGAACCAATCAAGAAATCAACAGACCAACAAACCAACCAGTAGGGCAGTCAGTGAAAAAAAACAATGAACCAATAAAACAATCAATCAACCAAGCAATCATCCAACCAATAAATCAGACAACAAACTGATCAATCAACCAAGCAAGAAATCAATCAACCAACCAACCAACCAGTCCATCAATCAATCAATCAATCAATCAACCAATGAATCAACCAATCATCCAAACAACAAATTAGCCAGAAGCCAAATCAATCAACCAATCAACCAACTGACCAGTGGAGAAACCAAAAGACCAACCAAGCAATGAATGAATGGTTGAACCAACCAACCAATTAATTGATCCACCAAATCAATCAATCAACCAATCAATCAACCAATTAATCAACTGACCAGCCAACAAACGAATGATCCAATAAATCAACCAATCAAACAATGAACCAACCAACCAACCAAAAAAATTACCTATCAATTAAACAAGCAATCATTCAACCAATAAATCAGCCAGCAAGCCGATCAATCAAACAATTGATCAGCAGAGAAACCAACAGACACGCCAACCAACCAACCAACCAATGAATTGATCCAACAAATTAATCAATCAACGAAGCAATGAACTGACTGACCAGCCAACAAACCAATGAATGAATGAATGAATGAGTCAACCAACTAACCAACCAATTGTTGCAGCATTCAGAGGTTTTCCCATAAACCTCATCCTCTCCAAGGAGCTTCTCCTCAATCCCATCATGGCCAAGTGGAGCTGACCCAGTGCCAGCAGCCACGGTGGGCTGTGGCATCGATTGGCATCAGGAGGGAGGGGACTGGTGGGGACAAGTGACAGGATGGACTCTCTTTTCTCTTGGTCAATGGAGTCAAGGGCAGAAGTTGGTGGCAATGTAGGGGAAAACAAAGCGCGAGTGGCTTTGGGTTCCACCTGTCCTTTGGGGACGCTGGGGACACACCCACCTTTAACAGCCCCCAGGAGACCCCCTCTACCCAAAATCATCTTCCAGGGTGGTTCTCCAGCAGCCACAGGAGGACGCTGGTGGCTCCTGCAAGCCATGAGCAATGTGGATGGTCCTGAACATCCTGAGGGACAGGAGATGCTCAGGATTTTACCTTGACCTCTGCAGAGCATCCAGCTGGGAAGGACCCAGAGGCCCCCTCCGGACCAGTGTCCTCCTCCTACTGGAACCAGCACAACTTGTGGATGTCACCCCACGAGGTGGAGGGACACCCCAACAGCTGGTGACCAGCATGGAGGAGGCCAACAAGGGACAATGGAGATGGACAATTCCATTGTCCTGCAGCCAGCCAAGGTGGCTTCATCATTTCTTCTGTGACATCCAGGACAGTACCACCTGGGTTTGAGGGGCTCTGAGGACGTGACCCATGGCAGGGGAGGACATGCCACACGATCCAGAGGTGACACTGCTGTCCCCACCTCGTGTAGAGGAGCCACATTGGTGGCCCTGAGCAGAGTCCGTGGCTAAGGTGAATCCAGTGCTGCCACGGACTTGGGGTTCGGCTTTAGATGAGGAACAGAAGAAAAGCAGAAGGTGCAAGGACCCAGGAGGGGACAAGGAAGCCACCCAAAGAGCCACCACAGCTGCTGGCAGGAGCTTCTACTTCTTCAAACAAGTCAAGTTTCTTGTCTCTTCAACAACTCATCCTGTTCCAATGTCAAGATCTTTCCATTGACATGACTCCACTCCCATCTTGACCGCGGTGACGATGGCAGGGACGTGGGACTTGGACATGGGAGCTTCACCCCTCAAAGGACCCAGCCCTGCTGTCACTGTGGCCCCAAAGGTCCTTCTGTGTCCTCCAACCTGGTAAGCTGAAGGCCCATGGGGTTTCCTGGGTGGAAAGAGACGCAGGAGATGCTCGAAGGTCTCTTAGTTGGCAGCTCTTGGGGAAGTGGCTTTTCCTAAAATTGGTCCATGACCAGAGCCACCAACAACACCCAGGGAGAAGGAAGGAACCACATTGGTTGGGGTCATCAACCTTCTCCAGCCAAGGAGAGCATGGTCAGGCCAGGGAGTGACACCAGAAGCGAAATGCGATGGATCCTCTGCTGCCAGAGCCAATAGGAAATTAACTTCAGCCCTAATTAGCTTTAATTAGCACCTAAATGAACTTGGGGGATGCCCTGGCCTACAAGAAGGGGAATAAACCATCAGGCATCAACTGCAAACGGCCATGACCTCCTGCCTATCCCATGAGGTGACCATGGTGTCACCTCAGAAATTAGGGATTCATCAAGGGAGAAGGTCCTGGAGCCATATGGATGGGGATTGGATGCACCTGAGTGTGGGGACACTCCACTGGTGACAATCACAGCCATGACCATGGAAGGGTTTGGGTTGGAAAGAACCTTCAAGACCATCCCATTCCAATGGCCAGCGACACCTTCCATGATCCCAGGTTGCTCCAAACACCGTCCAGCCTGGCCTTGGACACTCCCAGTGATGGGGCAGCCGCAGCTTCTCTGGGAAATTGGTGCTGGTGTCCCACCACCTTGGTGTCCCTGAGGTTGAGGAAAACAGATGGGGCCACCAGGACAGAAACCTGGTGGGAAGGAGAAGGAGAAAGATAGAAACGTGGTGGGACATTCCCACCATGTCCCAAGCTGTGTGAAGAAGGCATAGGATCACTAATGGCAGCAGCTTTTTCTCCTGACATGAAGATCCAAAGTGGATCTGGAGCTCTCCAGTTTTGGTTCTGGACCTCCTTGTGCAGCACTGAATCCTTGGGGACAATTGTGCTTCAGGAATCTTCTGCTGCCTTTGGATGCAATGCTCCAACAATTTCATTACATGTTTCCATGGACAAAAACGGAATTTTCCAGATGATTTGCTGTTTCCCAGGTCCATGTCCAGGGTCTCCTTCCTGCTGACTCCAAATTCCATCTTCCAGGCAGTTTTCCAGGTGGGATTCATCCCCGCATGTGGCATCATCACCCATTTTTTGGAAGCCCTGACAGCTTTTCCCTGCCTTTCCCAGCCTTTCCCTGGAGGGGACAGATGGAGGACATCCAGAAGCTGATGGAGGATATCCAAAACAGGAGAACAACTGATGGGCTGGAATCTGGGCACATGGGATGCACCAGCTCCAACAATTCCAGGTCTCACTTAAGGGTCTCCTCCAGAATGGGAGTTTGGTGCTGGAGGGATCTCCAGGGAGGGACCAGGTGGTCCACAACTCTGGGAAACAAATCCTGGAAAACTGGTGGCTCTTTCATCCCAAGGTTTTGAAGGACCACTTCGCTAAGACCAACTTCTTTGAAGGACCACCTTGCTAAGGACCAACTTTGAAGAACCACCTTGGCAAGGACCAACTTCTTTGAAGGACCACCTTGCTAAGACAAACTTTTTTGAGGGACCACCTTGCTAAGAACCAACTTTGAAGGACCACCTTGGCAAGGACCAACTTCCCTGAGGGATGAGCCAGGAATGGGCACTCAGGAATCTCCTGGGAGTTGGATCCAGGATCTGCCCCCCCACCGAGAAGCCACAGCACAGAGCCGAGGCTGTCATGGCACAGAGGTGCCTGTGCCAAATCCTGCTGTGGGATCACCCCAGGGACCATCCCACTGGAGGAGAAGGAGCTCCAACCAGGATTGGCCATGCGGTGAAGACCCCCAAAACCGAAACCATTCCCGTGGGCGTTACCTGAGATGGATGTAGGTAGGGCTCGGGGGAGGCCAGGTTGGTCTGGACGGAGACGCTTTTCTCCAGCAGGATCTGGGGGAAGCCCAGCTTCTCGAAGGTGTTCCTCTTCCAGTGCTTGTTCTCCTGCTGCGCCAACGCCTCGTCCTCGCTGAAGGCTCGCACCACCGGGCCCGGCATGGGCAGCGGGAGTGCTCCGTCACTCTCGTAGCCCGAACCGTCCTTTTGGGAATCCCAGCTGCTCCGTTGCTTCATGTGGTAGTGGGCTTGCTGCGCTTCCCACGCCAGGCGCGCCTGCGCCAGGAACGGCTCCGGGAAGCCCCGCGCCGCCTCCGCCTCGGCCGCCTTGCTCTCCGTCCGGTTCATGGGTGACCTGTTGGGTCCTGGCGCGGCTCGTTCCTCACCCAGCTCGCCCAACGCCTCCCGCTCCCCCGAGCCGTCCGTGGAGGAGGCGTTGGCATCGTGGTTCACCGAAGGCTTCCGGCTTTTCCTCTTCCTGGTGGAAGGCGAGTAACCGGTGGAGGACAAGGTGTCCTGCTGGCTGGACCACGACATGGAGTCCTCGCCCTGGGCCACCTGGGCGCCTGTGGGGCCGGGGCAGAAGTCGGGTCCCTCCATGCTGCTGTAGTCGCCCGATTTGATCTCCAGGCGTTGATCCCGCACCAGGCAGGGGCTGTGCTGCAGCGAGTAGGAGCCGCCGATGGGGTTGGGGGAATATTTGTGCCTCAAGCCCGTCTTCATCTTGGGGCTGGAGCCCGACTGCTCCACGTAGACCAACTGCCGGACGTATTCCTTGCCAGCCGGGCTGTATTCCAGGCTCATGAAGCGGTCAGGACACTTCTGCTTGGTGAGCACCAACTGCTGGTAGGGCGAGTTGGAGCCTTGCTTGGGCGACTGAAGGAAAGGGTGAGGCTTCCGGATGGGCGATTTCTGCGGCGAGCCGGCCTTGTAGCTCCCGCTGGCTTCGTACTGCATGTCCACAGGAGGCTCGTCGTAGATGGGAGCCTGGTATTCCATGGGGGGCTCCTCGTAGAGCGGGGGCTCGTAGGCGTAGCGGGGCGACGAGGGCTGGGATTCGCTGGAATGTTTGCGGTGCTGGGCTTGGAGCGGCGAGCAGAAGGAATCGCCCCGGCCCAGCAGCGGCGAGCAGCTGCCCACGTGCTCGGCCCTCTTCAGGAAGGGCGACTGCTTCCTCTCCGGGAAGAAGACGGAGTTGTCGGCATCCGAGGAGAAGGTTTGGAGGTTGGGCGACTGTTGGCCACCCGAGGGCCGGCGGGAGCGGGAGCCCGGTTGGTTTTCCGGGGTGTAACCATTGCCTTGGTGGAGGAGGAAGCTGGGCTCCCGATCCGTCACCTTGATCAGCATCCGCTCCTTGGTGCCGGCGTTCCATCGGAGGGATGAGGTCCTGCGGGGAGAAACATCACGGGGGGAGGAGGTCAGAATTCCACCAGAATTTGGGAGGCTGGTCCCAAACCTCCCAAACTATGGCAGAGACTGAAGGATGGATATTCCCGAGCACCTGAGAGATGGAGATGTGAGGGATTGGGTGGGACTGGATGGGATTGGATATTGGACAAGGCATGGAGGGACGGGACACGGGGAATGGCTTCCCACTTCCAGAGGGCAGGGTTGGATGGGATAACAGGAAGGAATTTTTGGCTGTGGAGTGGAATTCCCAGAGAAGCTGTGGCTGCCCCATACCTGGAAGTGTCCAAGGCCAGGTTGGATGGGACTTGGAGCAACCCAGGATAGTGGAAGGTGTCCCTGCCTGTGGGATTGGATATTGGGAAGAAATTTTCCTGTGAGGGATTCTTCCCTGGCACAGGAGATTTTCATCTCCTCTATCCCTGCTCCAAGTCCTTGGGACACTCAGGAAGAAGAGGAAAGATGGATTTTATGGAGCTGCCCAGCTCACAGGAGGGATCCGAGCTGGAATTTACTGTTCCCAAGACACAGGGAAGCACATCCTGTCACCAATCCCACGCTGGAACAGAAGATGCCGGAGGCACCGTCTGCTCTCCCAGATTATCCCTCTCCAATTCTCGTTTATTCCCAGCCATTTGTCCCTTCCACCCCCCAGGAAAAGGTGGAGTGAGCTCAATCGCTGAGTTTTGAGGGAAAAATTCCCACAAAAACCCACAAACAATTCCCTGCAGGAGGCTCCACAGCCTCTCCTTGTTTGTCCACGACTTTGTCCTCTCTCCAAGGGATTTGGGAATGATTTATGCCTTCCTTTTCCACCTTAGGAAGAGCCTTTGGAGCTCCTGGGGACTTGAGCCTCCCGCCAACTTCTTGCTGTCGAAAACCTGGATGAGTTTGGGTTCCTCCACCTTGGTTTGATAGATCTCAACCCCTTATGGATCCCTTCCAGACCCTTAAAATTCCATCCACAACCACAAAATCATGGATTTGTGGAATGATTTGAGTTGGAAAGGGCCTTAAAGCTCATCCAGTTCCCTCCCCTGCCATGAGCTGGGACACTTTCCACTATCCTGGGTTGTTCCAAGCCCCTTCCAACCTTGTTTTACTCCTCAAAAATCTGCTTTTCCTGCTCAATTCATGGACAAAAATCTTGGCTGGCTCTTCTGGAAGAGCTAGAGGTCTTTAATCCTCATGAATAACCTGATTTTTATACACAGATCCCAAGAATTGTGAGGAGAGGAAATAGAAGAGCCACAGAGGATTCCCAGTGGAACTGAACTGGAATTCCCAGGGAATCTGTGGCTGCCCCATCCCTGGAAGTGTCCAAGGCCAGGCTGGACAAGGCTTGGAAAAACCTGAGATAGTGGAAGGTGTCCCTGCCCATGGAAAGGGGTTGGAATGAGACGATCCAGAAGTTCCCTGCAGAAATCCATGTTTCCACATTTTCCCCACCCCCACCCAACCCCAAATCCCTCCTAAATCCAGGTGTTTTCACTCAAACCAGGTGAAACAACCGCTTAATTCCCAGCTTTGCAGCTGGCATTAATATTCCAGCCCGCGGCATCTGGCAGCGGCGCAGCCGAATAAAAATCCCCAACGGAGCAGCGGCGCTTCCATCAAATCGCCTCGTCCCGGCCGAGCTTTCAATCCCAAATATTAAATAATGGGAAGCAATATTCCTGAAAGCTCCGTGGATTATGGCTAAACCCACCCCCCCACCAAAGAAACCCCATGGAATAAATGGAATTTTCTGCCAGCAAAAGGAATCCCAAAAAGGCAATTTTTGTGCTTAAATCGCTGCCCACGTGCAGCGCGGCCGCTCCGAGAAATTCAAGGGATGCTGGCATGGGGCATCCAGCAGAAATTCCAAATATTCCTGTTATTTCTGGCTTGGCACCGGGTTCTCCCTGCTGTTTTCTCAGTGTGGGGAAGATTTTTCCTGCTCTGTACATTTCCATGACAAAGCCTCTTCCCAAATCCCTCCGTATCTCCTATCCAAGAAACCGATTTCTTCAGAAATTTGCATGATTCCCACATAATTTCCATCTGGTTTAGGGCAGGATTTTTCCATGTTCTCCTAAATCTCCTTCCCTGCTCCAATGCCTCCTCCTTGATCTTCTTCCAACCTTTGGGAAATCAACGATGGAGGGGAGAGGAGAAACCTGGAGCCCTCATCCAGGAATTCCTTTGCTTCCCAATGTTTTTTTGGAATGGATGCCCCCCCGCTCCATTTACACATCGTTATTCATGCCGGTGAGAATTCCGACCATCCACAGCTCAAAATTCCTTAAAATCCCACCAAAACAACCAAAAGTACGAATTCCTGATGCCTTTAGTGGAGCTGAGGGGCAGCTCCACTCCATCGAGGTGAGGGAATAAATCACAGCCGGGTTTAAGCGGAATTATTTCAAAATAATATTTTATTATTTTAAACCAAAATTATTTTGTATTTTGATGGAATGAGGCGGCGACGTGAGGTTTAAAAACAAGAATATTTCCAAAACCGACCCAAACCACATGTTTTTCCAGGATTTCTTTCCCTGCCCCGGCGTTATTTAGACTTTGCAGGTGAAGATTAAAATTTAGAGCTGGGATTAAATGGATTTTCCCCTCCCTGGGAAAGGGAGAAAAAACCCCCTGATTTGAATAATTCAAATATTGGTTTCCGACGGAACGCATCGAGATTCTCCGGGAAAAGCAAAAGATCCCTGGGCACCCCCCACCATCCCGGCTTCTTGTGCCATCCCAAATTCCCAAATTCCCACCGCTCTTCCTTACCTTCCTCCCCCAGCCACGGGATTTGGGAGCATCTTCTCCCTCTGCATTCCACCTGAGCTTAAAATTCTGTTTTCCAGGGCTAAACTGGGATGGGAATGAGGGAAGCAGCCCGGCCCCTCTTCCCTCCCAGCTGGGCACCGCCTGCTCCGAGCGCATCCCGCTGGGAAATCCGGGGTCAGGGATGAGCCGGCGGCGGAAAAAACCTCCCTGTGCCTGGCGCGGTGCCCGGCGCCGCTCCAGCGGCACAGAAATCTCCATGAAAAAAGCGGGGAAAGGTGAGCAGCAGAGCCTGAAGACGTCCAGGCTTCCACCTGAAGCCTCCCGTGATCCATCTGCATTTTTCCAGCCGGGAAAAACATCCTCAGGACAGGAATCAAGCCTCTATAATCATGCAAAAATCTCATGTTTTATGCTGATTTGGAATTAAACTGTAGGAGAAAATCCTAAAATCCTTCATCCTTAAGGTTTTGCTGCTCCTCACCTGCAAGTAGCGCTGTTCCCAAAAATTTACATGGAATTCTACGGAATTCCGTGCATAGAGATATCCCAGGGCTTGGACTGGAATTTTAAATTCTGAATTTTAAAATTTAAAATCTTAAATTCCTGCTCAAGCCCTTGTTTCTCAGTTTTTGTGGGATTTGGGGTTCTCACAACCCCACCGTGGCCTCTCCAACCCTTCTTCCACACTTCCAATCCCTCTTCCCATCTTTAGGAGCCCGGAAGCATCACTTCCTCCTTGGAATTCAATTTTTTACGAAGCTTTTTGATTGGCTGGAGCTGATTCCTAGAAAAACCGGAATGAGTGAGGTGAAATCTGTGTAATTTGGGAAATAAAATGGATATTTGGGAAGAAGGTGAGTGCCAGGATCGAGTTTTCCCAGGATGACTTGATGGATACAACACAACCCATGGGATATCTGGGAAGGGGAAAATCCAGTTTGGTCTTTCTGGGGGAATTTTGGAGCGATGGGAATGTTGAAGCCCAAAGTCTGTTGACATCAAATCTTGGTTTGGTGGATGTCCACGACCCCCTGAAGCTCCTCCGCACACAATTCCCTTCTCCAACTAAAATATTCCCAAAGGATTATACCCATCAAAATATCATAAAAAAAAAAAATTAAAAATTTCTATTATTTTCCCAAAACTCTCAGGGATTGTCCAATCCCTATCTCCGGATGGCGCTATGGGATCACTTTTAGTTCCAAGCCCTCAACACCAAATCTCTCCGTGAAACATCGCCGGTGTTCCGCTGTGCTCTGGTGGCATCGGCACTAATTAACAACCATGGAAGTTGATGAAGACCAGAGGGAGATAAGGAGCCATCCCATCCCTCACCATCTCATTCCCACTTTTTTTCAGGAGAAGCAGGGCCGGGAGGATGGATTTGTTGCCGTTTTCCGGCAGCTGTTTGAACATCGCCTGGTGGGATGGTCAGGTCAGGACATTAGAGGTCACGAATCCATAACCAAAGGATTTTACGGGATGTAGATGATGAGGAAACACCAAAATGAACTCGGATGAGCTCCTTTGGGATCAATCCCATTGGGAACCCACCAGGAGGAAGCACAAGAACAACACAAGCGAGCCAGGCACGGACGACACGGACGCCAAATTCCCGGGAGCCACTGGGAGCTGCTCATCCCAATTAAAGCAATCCCCCAAAAATAGCGTCTTTCCCGAAATCCAAATGTCACCGAAAACAAGAGGAGATCTTTCCAGATTGGAGAGGGAGGAGGGAACGCTGGGAAAGGAGCACAGAAGAGCCTTTATTGTTATGAGGAATCAGCTGGGAAGTACAAAGAGACCAGAAGTGACATTTCCCGAAATAGCCGATCAATAGGGAATCTGCTCCCGCTGGCTCCGGGAGCGCAACAAAGAGTTCCAAAAATGGCGATTTTTTTTAGCTCTCGCTTATTCTGAGTGGATTTTGCATTCCCCGGAGCCCATTCCCTCTGCCAAAGCCTTTTCTCCTCTTGGTCCTCTTTTCTCCTCCAGCCTGAATTGTTCATCAGTGATGGGACACAGGGAATGGCTTCCCACTTCTAGAGGGCAGTGTTAGGTGGGATTTGGGGAAGGAATTCTTCTCTGCGAGGTGCTGGAATGAAATTCCCAGAAAAACTGTGGCTACTCCATCCTGGAAGTGTCTGAGGCCAGGTTGGATGGGGCTTGGGCAGAAGGCCCAGCTCAGCAGGTCCCACCACCACGATACTCCCAAGAGCAACCATCAAGCTCATCCCTTTTTTCCCAAAAGATGGGGTTTTCATCTCGTGGTTCCCCAGGGAATCACCGGTGTCAGTTCTGCTCCTCTTCCTCACTTCCAAGGGAACCAGACAATGGATTGACCTCAAAAAGTCAGAAATGGTCACATTTATGAACTTGGCAGTTGGAACCAAGCTTAAAATACGGCGTGGTGGTTCCTCACCCCCTTCCTGGGTTTCTCCAAAGCTCCTGCAAGTCTCTTCCTGAATTTTGGGCCTGGATTTACACAACTCTGCCAAATTACAGCCATTCCCTGAATCCATGTGGCACTAGGACAAGAAATCCGGATGGAAAAGGGCTGAACGTGGCCAGGGCAGAATTTGGACACTGAAGATTCCCATGGCTGGAGATGAATCCAGCAATTCCCATGAGAACCAAGAAGTGAAAACAGCTGAAAAAGCAAAAATTTTTGGCAAATTACGGCTGTCTCCCAAAACAGAGGTGGCTCAACCACCACAACCACTTCCTAAACCTCTGCAGACTTCAATCCACCTCCAAAACCACCTCAGGTGCCTCCACGCGAGGTTCCTTCGAGCTCCGAATGGTGGTGCCGGGATTTCTGGGAGCCAGCCCAAATTCTCTCCCTGTTTCCCCAATTTCTTTGCTATGAAGTGATTCCCATTGAGCACAAGAAGATTGAAGACCTCTTCCAACATTCCTGGATGTGGAGGTCCGGAAGAAACTGAGGAAGACCAAGCCAAGGATCCCATGCAGGTGAAGCAGCCGCCGTCCTCCTCTCCTAAAACAACCACGGGAGAAGCGGGATTCTCCCTGTTCATGGATTGGACATCCCAACTTTTTACAAAGAGCTGGAACACTCAGGGAACCTTCTCCAGCTCCAAAACCTGGAATGAGGGATTTGCCACAGCTTTGGAGAACTTCGGTGCCATCCTGGCTGTCAGGAGGAGAAATGGAGAAGAAAGTCCTTAATTTTGAAGATTTTTGGTATAAAAACCAGCTTGAACAGCCTTGGACCTTGGAGCCTTGGACGCAACCATGGGATGAAGACAGAAATTTTGGATTTCTCCCACAGACAAGCCGATTTCCCGATGGGAAGATTGATTTTGGATTAGCAGAGGGTTCAACTCCCTCAATGGAATGAGGACAGGAACAGCTCCAGGGATCACAAATCCAGAGGGAATGAAGAGGGAAAGGGTTAAGGGCAGGGATGGTGAATGATGGGATTTGGGATTCCAGGGCTTCCCGACAAAAGCCTTCCAGGCAGACAGAGCATGACGTCATCCTCTTAATGACACCCACTAATCTTAATTATATTGGAAAAAATTCCCCTGAGGAATTGTTGGCTGGGAGCTCCAAGGAAGTGGAAAAATCCTTCCCTGCTCCTGAGGATGTTGATGCAGCTCCTGGGGTGCTCCAGGGAGCTGAACCCCAGAGCTGCACCTGGAGGTGGTGACAATTCCATGGGTGACGATCCCCAGCCGAATCCCACGGGATTTCTCAGTCAAGATCCGGCTTCTCTCCACAAGCCACCTTGATCCCACACTTTGTCCCAACATCTGGGACTTCTCCAGCTTCTCCATTCCCGGACAGAGGGGATGGAGGAAGGCAGGAACCATGACCTGGGTCTCACCACACTTTCCCGTCCACCAGAGAACCATGGATGAACTGTGGGACTCAATCCTGTCTCCCTCTGCCATTTTCCAGAGGAAAACCTCTGGAATTAATGCCAGACTAGAGGAGAAGAAGGTTGGAAAGACCTGCCAAGGCTGTTTGCTTTCAGAACTGATTTTCCAGCTGATCCTGGAACCTCCAGGATCGTTTCATGAATGGGGTTTGGAAGCAGATGGATCTGAGGGAGCTGTGGCTGCTTCAGCTGGGAGCATTTGAGGGCTCATCCCACTCCATGATGGAACTTTGAAGCTCTGGTTGGGTTCCATCCTGCTCCGAATCCATCATCTCCGTGGTGGCATGAACCCATGGGACAACCAGAGATCTCCCAATCCCTTGGCAACCTTTCCCAAGGTCCTAGAGCATCATCCTTCCCGTCCTTGGAATTGTTCCAGTCCAGGTTGGACAGGGCTTGGAGCAACCTGGGATACTGGAAGGTGTCCCTGCCCTTGGAGGGGTTTGGGTGGGATTGGATCATCTTTGAGGTCCCACCCAACCATGACTCCATGATTAGCTTTTCCCCTCATAATTAATCCCATTAACAGGAATTCATCACAAGCTCCGATTGCATCTCGTGGCACTCACAGGGTTAAACCAAAATCCCACCCCACAGAGACTCGTTCTTCCAGAAGGATTCTGGATGTCCACTCACAGCTAATTAAGCAAAGCTGCTAATTAGCTCCTTGGCTGGCGGCGGGCTGGGGGAAGGGTGGCCAGGGCTGCTCCGTGGGTTTTTATGGGATTGGGAAGATGGAGGCGTCTCCTGCGGCAGAGCTGATGCCAACAGCTCACGTGTGCAGTGACACCAAAGCTTTTAACTGCCACCAGCCCAAATCCACGTTGCCCCTGTCACTGCTCCATGTCCCCCTCACCAACAAATCCCACCGGATTCCCACCACCAATCCCTGTTTCCCAACCAAACAGCTCCAAGCTTCCCAAATCTCACTCCTTCCCACTCTTCCTGGGAATTGCATCCACCCAGCTCGCGGATGGGATCGGGTTGTCCATGGATTCATGGAGAGCGTTCGGCTGGCGAGGATAAAAATCTGATTCCATCGCCCTGCTGGTTTTCCCTCCTGGAAAGCTCGGAATTTTTTCCCCTTTCTTCCTTAAGTGGTAATTAATTCAGACGCTTCCCAGGAGGTCACTTGGAGGCAGTGAATTCCGGGGAAAGGTGGGATGGAAAGTGGCCAGAGCCTCCAGGGGGATTTTCCGTGTCTTGGATCGGGATGCAGAAAGCGGCATGCTGGGCTCGCCGTCTTGGAACAGCAGGAAAATGTGCTGGGAAAAAGGATGAGGAACATCCCGCTCTTCCCGGTCTCTGTTTCCGACACGGAAAACAAAGGAAGAGTTGGAGGTACCTCCACTTATTGCCAATTCCAGAAAATCCAGGAACGTGTGGAAAAAAATGTGCTGGGAGAAGGGATGAGGAGCATCCCGCTCTTTGTGGCCTCCACTTCCAACATGGAAAACAAAGGAAGAGCTGGAGGTGCCTCCACTCATCCCAAACTCCAGAAAAAATCCAGGAATTTGGGGTTTATCAAAACCCGGAGCAACCAGGCAGGAGTGACTCTGTAAATTCACAAAATACAGTCTTAACCTCATCTTGGATTTTTAGGGTTTTGAAAAGGGCCTGGTGGGGTTCAACAGGGACTTCTGGGGTTCAGTGAGGACTTGGAGGATTCAAGAAGGACTTTTGGGGTTCAATGAGGACGTTTGGGGTTGAGTGAGGATTTGGGGTTCAAGAAAGACTTTTGGGGGTTCAATGGGGATTTTTGGAGCTCAAGAAGGAATTTTGGGGGTTTAGTGAGGATTTGGGGTTCAAGAAAGACTTTTGGGGGTTCAATGGGGATTTTTGGAGCTCAAGAAGGAATTTTGGGGTTCAGTGAAGATGTGGGGTTCAAGAAGGAATTTTGGAGTTCGATGAGGATTTTTGGGGCTCAGCAAGGAGATGGTGGGGTTCAGTGAGAATTTTGGGTTTTCAATGAAGATCTGGGTTCCAAGATGAATTTGGTAGGGTTCAAGAAGGACTTTTGGGGTTCAGTCAGGACTTTTTGGGCTTCCCTGAGGACTTCTGGAGTTCCACAAGGACCTGAAGGCAACACATGAAGGGAAGGGATGAAGACAAGGCTTGGAAAAGTGGGAATAAAACAAAAGTGATGTTCACTGCTCCACCCATCCCAACCCCAATCCCGGAGGGAAATTCCAGCTACCTGTAGTGCAGGAGTTGTCCTTCCGCACTGTAATCCCGATAAATGTCGTATTCCTTCTCGAACACTCCGGAAGGCGACGAACTGGAAAACAGGAATGAACGGGGAGTTACCATCAATGTCTCCTCTGGGATTAATGGAGATGAATCCCAACAGGATGGGATCCAGATGTCCTGGATCTGCTCCTGGGACCTGCTTGAGCTTGGAGTCATGGATTTTTTATTTTGAGTTGTTGGCCAGATGATGACCAAGCCACCCGTGGCTGTGATCTCCAGCTTCATGATCTCCAACCCTTCAAAGACCAAATTTTCCCTTAAAACATCTGAGCAGATCCCGAACATCTCCTGGTTTCATCCCACCCTTTTCGAGTGCCGCTCCCGATCTTCAACAACCTCGGATGATCAGAGCCAATACGGGAAGAGGAAAATCCCCCCCAAAAAACCCCTTTTTTCCTCATTTTCATTTATATCTGAGCCTGCAGAGCTTTTGCTCCCAGAAGATGGAGAAAGTCACACCACCAACCCCCTCCAAGAGACACCACACTTGGAAAAACATGGAAAAACAACCATCTGGAAGCATGGGATGGAATTTCCCAGTTGATTTTTGGACTTGGTGGGGTTCAATGAAGACTTGGGAGTTCAAACTTGGGAGTCCAAGAAGAATTGTGTGGGATTCAAGAAGAACTTAAAGCCTCTCCTGTAGGATCAAACCCATTCTTGATCCGTGTTTTTGGCTCCACGCTTTTCCAATGGCCATGAATCCATGTCAAGACCCTCCAGCACTTCCCAAAAACCAGGTATTGATCATCGTCTTTCCAATATTATCCATCCCCACTGCCAAGGAGCACAGAAAAAGGTTTATTTCTGCCTTAACAGCCCTTCCCGGTGGGAATGTGCTCAGAGTTGGTCCCATTTGGAAAACAAAGGGCAAATAATCAGAAAACATCTGGAGAAATAACTTTATTCCAGAAAAAGACCCCTAAAAATCCCCCCACATTTCCTCGTTAAGGCTCTCTCCTTAATAAAATTCGGATCAAACGCTGGTTTCGGGAGGAAAAAAAGAGGGAAAAGAAACAAATCTTCCTAATAGGATAAAGCTCCAAAATTTTAGTGGAGCAAGGAGGCAATGAAATTAAGCTTCTGTCAAAGCTCATTTAAATGGGATTTAGCCCTGGAATTATGGCTGTGTGGAATTGCTTAATCCCTTTTTCCTCCCCAGCGCGTGTGAATGGATTTCCTCCTCCTCCTCCAGGATTCCTGAGAGAAAGGCATCACCTCTGATCCCAGAGCTGTAGCCAGATCCATGGAATTCAGATGGATCCCCAAATCCATGGTGGAATTCAGATGGATCCCAGATCCATCCCTGGAAGTGTCCCAGGCCAGGTTGGAGCAACTTGGGATAGTGGGAGGTGTCCGTGCCCAGGAACTGGATGGGCATTAAGGTCCCTTCCAACCGTTCCGTGACTCCAGGATTCCAGGAGAGTTCAGGAGTTGTCCAAGGTCCTTCCCTACGGATCTGCTTCCCAGCACTCCACCCCCCATCCCGTACAGCAGCATCCCTGGGGAAATTCCTGGTGGAAATGTCGTTTTTTCCGTCAAAAAACTCCACTGGAAGCCAGTCATGGACAAAACGGGATCGTCAAACCCAACGGACACCGAAATTCCCTGGATGGGATGGACCAAGAGCTCCTCCCACTGCCATTAGCAAGGTCCACACCCTTCCAGGAGGGAATTCCCACTCCTCCAGATCCCAGGTTTCTGTTCCAGGTGCCAGCATCAAGCTCCACGTGCTCCTCCATCCTTTATTTTGGCTGAGCCTGAGGAGGGGTGTTTTTTTCTTGGAGTTTTTTGGAGTTGCTGCTTCCAAGATCTTCCAAATCCACCGGAGTCATGGCTTGGTTTCCATCCATCCAGCATTAATTATCCCCATCCAAACGAACTCCAGGCCACCTCCAATCCATCTCTGACGAGGTTTCTGAGCAGAGTTGACAAACGAGCAAATCCATCCCAGAGATTCCCACTAGTGTGAGCTGGGCAGGGAATCTCTGCAGGATCCGCTGGAGGTCGGAGCAGTGGTTGCACATTCTTGAGAATGGCCGAGCCGGCCACGCTCGCTTTTCCAGGATGAGCCAAGTTTTTGGGAATCATTAAAAACCACCGGCTGAGGTTCCAGCGTTAACAAGCAGCCTCTGGAATTGGCTGGAGCCCGGGGCAGGATTCCCAGTTAATTCCTGGTTAATATTTAAAAAGCAGCACTGCTGGATTCCGGCTATCCCGGCTTCTCAGGGGCAGGAATGTGACGGAGCGTGGCCCCTACACTTGGCCAATTGTTTTGCCAAGGTTTTTAAGCCAAATCTTTAAGGGTTTTGCTCAATTTACAGAATAATTGGATTAAAGGAAGAATTTTACGATGAGGGTGGTGAAACACAGGAGAATCTGTGGCTGCTCCATCCCTGGAATATTCCAGGCTGTGTTGGGTGGGGCTTGGAGCAACCTGGGAGAGTGGAAGGTGGCCCTGCCCATGGAAGAGGGTGGAACTGAATGGTTTTGAGGTCCTTTCCAACCCAAACCATTCCACGTTTAAGGTCTTCCCTGGAATCTCCACCTTGACCCAGTTTGTGTCCTCGAGCCAGACATTCCCACCCAACCTGGCCTTGGCCAACCTGGAACAACCGGGATAATCTGGAAAGCTCAACCCAAATGAATTCCCAAAATGGGCGTCAAGGCCTTCCACAAGCATGGGGCTACAGGCACTGGATTGCATCCCAGAAATCCCAACAGATAAAATCGCATGCAGCTGATCACAGGAAGCAAAACCAGTTCTAACCAAAAACCTGACCGGTTTGGAAACCTGGTTTTGGTTTTAGAAAGGTGTCCTGAGATCTCCCCAGAATCCTTCTCCATGCAAAGCCAGCCTGGCTCCCTCATTTTCTCCTCACACATCCTGTGCTGCATCCTGGTGATTCCCCACTGGATTCTCCCAGGTTTTCCAGGTTCTGGATAACCCAAAATGACCTGAGGTTGCCCAGCTGTGGTCAAACAAGGATTAAATCTTCCCTGGACCTTCTGAGGTGTTCCAAACTTCCTCACCTGCCCTTGGGATAACACTTCCCAGCATTCCCGAATCCTTCGGCAGCCGCCGGTTTGTCCATCCCACGGCTACACCTGGCCTTGCTGAGCTTCAGGAAGTTCTTCCCAACCTATCCTTGATCCATAGGATCCCTCGGAGCTCCAGGAGCTTGTCTGGAGACGGGAGTGGCTCCGCAGATTATTGATAAGAATATGGATCAGGAGAGGAGCTGGGATCAGCCTGGGAGGAGCCAAACATTGGGAATGAACCTTCAGTCACCACCCTCCAAGTCGGACAATCCGGTTTTTATCCATCAAATTGTCTCCCTGTCTGGATAAGGGATACATCCAAAGCCATTCCGGGACACTTTGAAGTCAATTTTCCATGAATAAAGATGATTTTCCATGAGAAAAGATGATTTTCCACTAATAAAGGTAGTTTTCCTTTAATAAAGATGATTTTCCGCAAACAAAAATGGTTTTCCAATAATTAAGGTGATTTTTCCAATAAAAAGGGTGATTTTCCAATAATTAAGGTGATTTTCCATAAATAAAGATGATTTTCCATGAATAATGATCATTTTCCATGAATAATGATGATTTTCCATTAATAAGTATGATTTTCCAATGAAAAAGGTGATTTTCCAATGAAAAGGTGATTTTCCACTAATAAAGGTAGTTTTCCTTTAATAAAGATGATTTTCCACAAATAAAAATGATTTTCCAATAATTAAGATGATTTTCCAATGAAAAAGGTGATTTTCCCACTAATAAAGGTGATTTTCCGCTATTAAAGGTGATTTTCCATTAACCAAGATGCTTTTATACCAATAAAGTTGATTTTCCCTTAATTTTCCCTAAACTACAGCTTACAAAGCCTCCAGCACGGACACAAATTTACACCTGGCACCTTTATCCCGGGAATCTCTGGCAAAACAACAAAACCTAACGAATTTTTTTTAAGAAAAATCAATAAATCCAGTAGTTTGGTTTTTTTTTTTCCTCCGGAACAGGAAGTGGCACCATTCCCCAGCTTTTGGAAAATCAGGGAAAGTGAGCGGCCTGAAATAGCTCAGCTCCATGGCAAAAGCCAGGAATAGAAATGAAATCCCAGCTCCAAATCCTCGGCTTTAATCGCTGCCCTTCATACTCTTAATTACAGCCCCCGCTTCCGATAAAACTTCAAAGATGGTTTTCTTTGGAATTACGCAACAGGAATTTTGGGGCGGCCGCCGACGCAAGCGCTCGGAGGACTTAGGCAAATATCTGCCTAATCCGGAGCTGTGTTTCGCAACGGGAAGCAGGGAATTCAAGGAAAGGATATTAAAAAGCTTCAGGCCCCAATTTCCATCCCAGCTCGGAGCAAGAAATGCCGGATATGAGTGGTTTTTTTTTTTTCTGGGAAATATTTGAGGATGGAAGGAGGGAGTTCGATCTTGTTTGGGTTATGCCGGGAATGTGTTTTCCACCGGTTATCCCCAAATATTTCCTCGGATGGTTCATCCCCCCCTGCCAGGAGCTTCATGATCTCAATAAAAACTCAAGGATCACAGCGAGGACTTGAATTAAGGAGCCAGGAGAAAGAATTTAAGGATGTTGGAAGTCTTTTCCGACCTTAACAATTCCATGGAAAACTCACCAGGATGAGTGGGATGAGACCCGGCACTGTTGGAGCAACCCCAGTGCTGGAAAAGGGGAAAGGAAGTTGAAATCAAAGGAATTTTGGAGCAGTGGGGGGAAATCAGATCTTGGAATAAATTTGGGAATGCTGGGAGATCCTATCAAAGAATTCCATCACGCTCCGACAATGCCCCATCCCTGGAAATGTCCAAGGCCAGGTTTGGAGCAACCCAAACTGTTGGAAGGGACCTCAAAGACCAAGGAATTCCGACCCCTTTGCCACAGACAGGGACATCCAACGTCACTCGGAGCTGGATTTTTGGGTGGGAATAAGCCAAAACCAGGGACAAAACAGCACAAAAAACCTGAATTTGGGATCCTTCCCAACATTCTGCC